GCTTGAAGATTCTCTCCTTCTGCCCCTCTCCCCTGCCTCATACTCATGCATGTGCACACTCTCTCTCTCTAAATAAATAAATAGGGGTTGCCTGGGTGGCTCAGTAAGTTGAGCATCTAAAATAAAGAAGAAATATAGAGCATGAACTACTTCAATAATAAAATCCTGAATTATTTAAGGATCTTCTGTACTCAAATGTCTGTATTTTCAGATTTGGAAATAGAAAGAAGATACACGCATCTGTTATCAAAGAATGCAAATATCCTGTTCCCAAGGAAATTAACACTATCATCAGGTGTATTCTCAGGGGAATTATGCAGGATGCTATTTCATGTTTTATACAGCTGAAACTTTGGTGAAATTTTAGGGGAGATTCCCATGATAAATTCTTGGGTTTCTCTTGGCTCCTCAAACATCAAACATCCCCCAACTTCAAATTTCAAATCTTGTAGTTATCTGTATTTATTTTTCACATGGAAGCAAACCACAACAGTGGCCAGGATTAGACCCTCTTCCTGGAGTTACTCTACTGGGGTATTAAAAGAAGAGTTCATGTGTGATATCTTGGAAGAGCTTAAGAATTAACATTTTATTTCTTTGTTCCCATCTGGAAGTACTGAAGGGAGGAATACTATGGTCAGAGAAAACCACCCAGCTGCTTCCTTATGCAGAAAAGAACAAGTTATCAGGCAAATCATAAAAGTGCCTCTCACCGATGGCTAGGAAAATGGCTCTCATTGCCATTTCCCTTCCTTCTCAACTAATGGCTTCAACCTTCTCTGTTGATCTTCTGCTCTAAATCACCAGTATGAACTCAGTTACCTTATTGAATACAGAGTATTTATTTTGATATCTATAATTGATGCTTCTTGATGGCATTCTGCAGAAATTAAAAGATAACCAATTTTTAAGACCTCCTTTGCCCCAGAGCCGACCAACTCCTTTACCATCCTCATGTTACCAGAAAAATGAAGTAAAATGCCACTTTAGGTGGCCATGATAAATTTCTTTAATCACAAATGGAAAACTTTAGGAAGAAACATATTTGGAAGAGAGAAAAGAGACCCACATGTTATATTCATTTTTTTTTCTTTTTCTTTAGTGAAATTACGTGAAAATAAGGCCTTAATTTGTGTAGAGTTTATTGTGTTACAGTTTAGTTCTCATCTGAATCTACTGCGTTTATTAAGATTTCACTGTTGAAATGCTTGCACAATAACAGTATAAGGATGTTTGGAATATCACCTGTACCACAGCCCACAGAGCTCCAAACAATGTAGGAATGTTTGCAAATTAATCCTCTTTACATCCCAGTACATTTATTTATGTTGAGTCCATGAATGGGGAAAAAGAGACTGGATTCCAGAGTGGACCAGCATATTCTATCACATTATAGGGAAGAGATAGGAGGGTGACTTAATTAGGATACACACACTATGTGGCAGATACAAGGCCCCCCCCCAAAAAAAATATATGCTATTGCCCGAGTATGCTAAATGGCAGATAGCTACATCCTACAGTGGTTCTGAGTATGGACTTTGAATCATGCCTCTGCATTCATATCCTAGCTTCATCACTTCCATGCTTGGAAGCAAGTTTCTTTACTTGTTTCATGTTTCTCAATTGTAAAATCGAGGTCATTCACGTAAAATCCAAGTCAAACCTACCTCACACAATTGTTGTGACAACTAAATAAAATAATACACAGGATGATTCTGGCACATATGGTAAGCCTCCAAGTTAGATATTCTGTGGAATTATTTTCTCCATTGGAATACATTGCCGAAGTCATAGCATAAGTGAAAGAAGCCCAAACCCTCGGATCCTGTTTTACCTCTAGTCAAGAAAAATCTACTTCAAGATAACTATAAGCCCTTTCAAGAAAGCAAGTTTATAAAAACCTCAAATCTAGTCACCAGATCTAAATAGATTTTATGCCAAAGGTCACATATAGTTTAATGTTACAATTTTTTTTTTTGGAATCTCTACACCCAATGTGGGGCTTGAACCCACAATTCTGAGATCAAGAGTCATATGTTCTACTGACTGAGCCAGCCAGGTGCTCCACTTTAATGTCATCCTTTACCTGTGCATACACGTACTCATTCAGCAATGTGTATGGGGCACACCCCAAGCAAGGCATGGGTTTACGTGCTGAGGACTCAAAGCTTGGATAGGATAGATATGATTTCTGCTCTGCTTCCAGACTGGGACACAAGAACTGGACTAGTTGTAACAGCAGAGATAGAAAGGGTAGGAGGAGAAGAAAGTTCCAGAACATCATAAACTTAGTACCTGGAAATCGGTGGTTTTTTAGCTGCTTTGGAGGTTTGAGGTATTTCTTTTATGTTCCTGGATTAATAATGTGTCTCTCTATACCTCTCTCCATTCCACCCTCTGTATCCTCACGTATCCCTTCTTTTCTGGGCGTTATTCCACATTTGAAATCTGAAGGATGCTAAATTCCTGGTCCTTTCCCCTCCTCAACGGCAGGGACACCTGGTATAGTGGAGAGGGAAGATGGTACTGCTGCCAGAGGTATTCCTGCAAAACACTTGGCCTCTCTTCCGTTAGACTGCTCCAGAAGGGAGTGAAAGTGGAACGGAGAGGTAGGGAGTCACTGATTCCAAGTAGGTAGGGGATTCTTGGCAAGCAAACAGACTACTAAAATATGGAGTGGGGAAGAGGGGAAAAACACACAAGGTCAAGCTTCCTAGTGATTTGTAGGGGCATCTGTGGCTGCACTTTAAGACGGTATGCCAAAATGTGCATTTTTATGGGGAGATTCATTCAACGAATACTTGATCATTAACTCCATGCAAAACATTGTTCTAGAAACTGACATGTCTGTAAACCAAACTGCTGAAGTTCCTGGCCCTCCTGGGGCTTACACTCTAGAGGATGATATGGACCATAGGTTTATTCTCCAAAAGATTCTGTGTTTTAAAAATGCCCAGGAATCAAGAGGCTAGACCTGTGGTCCTCAGTGTTGTGTACCAAGACCAGGGCAGGAGGATCTTAAAAGTCCAGAGGAGAGATCCCGTTCCTGAGATTCTGATTGGATGGATCTGTAATTGGGCTTGGGAATAAAGCTTTAAAACTCCCACTCATTTTGATTCAGTTAAGTTTGAGACAAACTGATCGCTTCTTTGAAAAGAGAGTGGAGATGAAGTTTCTCTCACTAAAAAGAGCCAGGAAAAATCGGCCACTTCCTTCTTTCATAAATACTAGGCAATGGGATTTTCAGTTCTGAATATCCCCGGAGAGAAGCATCAACATTCTTCCTTTATTTTTATTAGCTTAGAATAGCGCCCTACAAACAGTATTTCCAAAACATTTAATGTGTGCCTATATATTTTAAGCTTTAGGTAAAAGAGGAGGACTTATCATCATCATCTGAGACCCCAAATGATTTCCTAATTGTTTTTCCAAATACTACTACTACTAATGTAAGTTTTTATTATATGCCACTTTACAAGTATTCACTTTACAAGCTGGGCACTTTACAAGTGTCCTATGTAATACTCCCAAAAACCTTGTAAGGTATTGTTATGCTTACTTAGCAGGGGAGAAAGGAGGGCTCTGAGGGGTCAAGGAGCTTGCTCAAGGTCACACAGAGATTGGACCCGTGGGAACTTACACCATAGGCTGGCTCTCAACCCAGACGACCATCGACCACCGTAGCATCCCACCCTTTCTGAGTCCCCTCCCTCCCTTGTTTAGCACTTGGAATCTTTTCTGTGACCAAAGACGAACGTACATGTTATAATCACTGAGGAAAAAAGTTTGCTTAGGATACTCTCGATTTGGAGGCTCTTTGCGGGAGGGCAGCCTTCCCAATGCAGGGTATTATTTCTGGAGGTAGCCCCCGAGCTCATTCCCAAACCTAGCGGGGATAGACACTCGCTCGGCTGGCACCCCAGGGCGGCACTGATCCCCAGGCTATGAATTCCGAGAGGTGGCTGCCTTGGCCCCGCCCCCGCGGGCGCCTGGACTCGGGTGCAGATCCCAGACCAGGGAGTGCCTTCCCCCCCCCCACCCCGCCCGGGCGCCTGGACTGGGGTGCAGATCGCAGACCAGTGGGTGATCTTAATCTTGTGGTCCCGGGGCGGGTCCGAAGGATTCTCGGCTCAGTCAGGAACTTGAGCCTGGGACAGATGACTGGCTCCAGAAGTCTTTGCTGAAAGAAAGTTAAAAAGCTAGGTCCCTTTTAGGTTGAAGGCTTGAACCCCCTCCAGCCATTTGGCTACTTTCCCGTCCCTATAGTCTTCCCTGTGTCCTAAAAAGTTGGCTCCAAAGTTTAGGGGGGTCCCCAAAGTTCACAGGGATCCCAGGTAGAGGGCCAGGGGACCCAGCGTCACAGAGACACTGGCAGTCCCAGCTCCAGGACCCGAATCCGTGGTCGCAGGCAGGCAAGGGTCAGGAGCGCGCCTCCAGGTCGGGTCCACCTCTGCGGTACTAGAGGGAAGTACCGCGGGGTGTGGGGGCGGGGGTGGACAAGCCCGGGAGGGTGACCGACAGCGTGGCCAGCCACTGGCCGAGGGCGGTGAGGAGGCTTAGGCCGGCGTGAGTGCGTGCGTGTGTGCGTGAGTGTGAGCGCGAGGGTGAATGTGTGAGCCTCCCCAACCCCCACCTGTTTGAAATGATTTTAAAATGCCAAAGCCAGACTGACCGTATTTCAAAAGTTGCAAACAGTCGGGGTAAAACACGTGCACATGCCCCTACCCTGAAGTGATTAGCTGACTCGAGGGCAAGGAAAGAAAAGGAGGACTAAGAGGGGGGGCGTAGAGGGGGCTAAATCTCTTTTTGGAGGATCGGTTTTAGGACCCAACGGGAAGCACACTGGAATCTCTCCCTTCGGGAAGGAGAGGTGGGGCGGGCCGGCCGGCAGGCGGCCGCGGGGCGCATGCGCGCGCGTCTCCTCTAGCCGGCCGCTGCGCTCGGCGGCGCGGAATAGAATGAACTGTAACAAAACAAGCTGAGCCTTTGTATCTGCTTAAAGGGGCCGCAGGCACTTCCCTCCTGTCCCCCCCAACCCCCGCTCGGCAACCGCGTCTCCAGGGCTCCCAGCAACTGGCTGGAAGGGCTTCCCTCACCCTCAGGAACAGCCCGCCAGCGAGGAAAGGCGAGCCAGGCGGGAGGCAAAGAGGAGACACCGCATTTCTAAGAGGCAAGAAAGGAAGGAAGGGAGGAAAAAAAAAAAAAAAAAAACAACCCAAGCGGCTCAGAGTGGACTCTGGTCCGGGAGAGAACGATCGGGCGCCGGAACGTGGACCGAGAAGCACCGGAATGCAAACAAAGCTCGCGGGCGCCTGTGCAGGGCTCGCGGGGAAGCCCAGAAAGTTTGTTTTATGATGGCTTGAGTGCGCGAGTGTGTGCAGGGGAGCGAGGCTGCCAAGTTTCTCTCTCCCGTTGCGTTATTTTGGGGGAGATGTCTCTCCCATGAACCAGCGGGGGCTTGGGGACTTGTGCTGTGGGGGGCACCTGTCTCTCATTGCATTATTATTTTTTGTGTTGGGGGGGAGGAGGGGTGTAACCCATCATGTCGAGAGTGATCCAGAAGAAGAACCACTGGACTAGCAAGGTTCACGAATGCACCGTGAAGCGGGGACCCCAGGGTGAGCTGGGGGTGACGGTGCTGGGGGGCGCGGAGAATGGGGAGTTTCCGTATGTTGGAGCGGTGGCCGCGGCCGAAGCGGCGGGGCTTCCCGGCGGCGGCGAGGGCCCTCGGCTGGGCGAAGGGGAGCTGCTTCTGGAGGTGCAGGGGATCCGGGTGTCCGGCTTGCCCCGCTATGACGTGCTGGGAGTCATCAACAGCTGCAAGGAGGCCGTCACCTTCAAAGCCGTCAGACAAGGTAAGACGGGACGCGCCTCCGGGAGGCGCCCGCAAAACGGGGAGAGGCCTGCGGAGTGCCCCCCGCCGCATCTCGGTTTCCCGCGTTCCTCCTGCGAGCGCAGCTTAGAGGGGAAGTTGGGGCCGTGCGCCCTGTCGTGGTGAAATAAGCAAAGTTGTTGAGAGATGGTGGGTTGTTTGCCCACCTGCGTTGGAAAGGGGAGGCTGGATTTGCGTCGGGAAGCGGGGAGACTTTTCCCAGGCCTGGTTCGCCAACCTGTTTTCTCAGCCACCAAGTGCAGTGCCGCTTCGTCTGCGCCGGAAGGAGAGTTGGGAAACTGAGGTAGTGGCAAAGTGGACGGTCTCCGGGCCCTTCTGGGGAGTGATGCAGCAAGCGCAGCCGCTGCATTCCTTTGCCACTTATCGGTTCACAGACCGGGAGAATGGGTATGAACGAGAAGAGGGGTCTGTGGTTACTGACGTCCTCCCTCAGGAAACCGGCTTCACCTGGTATCCCTCCAGGTGGGTTGGGGTACGACCGCCCTGCGGTTCCTGTGCCCGCCGCCGGAAGATCCTGCATTCACCCCAGAGCTGGATGACGCATGTGTCTCGGTCGTGTGGCCCAGCCCCAGGCGTGGAGGGGGGGGGGGGGGGAAAGGAGTATTTCTGTCAGCGCAAATCAAGCCCAAGTTTATGCTGCCTCCACCACCACCACCATCGTTATCCTTGATAATGATAATGGTAGCCACTCTGCACTGATAGCTTACTACGTCCCAGGAGCTGTGTTGAATGCTTTCCTTGGCTGTTTTGTTCTGATTCCCAATTCTGAGAGCGAGTTGTTTTTATAAACCCCAGGTTGCAGGTAGGGAAATCGGCATTGACATTGGATAAGTTACTTGCCCAAGGTCACACAAATATCAGAAGTGAGGGTTTGACTCCTTAATGCAAGCGGAGGAGGAAGAGGTGGGGGGATGACCCTCCTGGACTTGAGGGCTTGATTTCTAGGGGAGGGAATAAAGGCAGATTCCTCTCTTAGAAGCCTGTAGAGGAGTGCCCACATCTTTGCTGCTGGTGGGGAGTCCCTTGCCTCTCAGTGTGGTGCAGGTAAGGGGCTGTCCCTCTATCAGTCCAACAGAGAAGGAGTTGATTCCCCTAAAGGATCACTTGCACGACCAAGTACCATGACACAGGTTCCCCTCCATGAAAGCACCAGAGGAAGTGGCAATGTTGAGCATGGTGAAAAGTTCCCATATGTGCCTGCGGGCCTGGAAGGGCAAGCAGCAGCTGGAGGAATGTGTTAAAGGAAAGGAGGGCTGGCTTGGCTGAGCAGATCCTTGGAAACAGGCCTGTTCTAGATGAAACAGAGGAGGGGGCAGAAAGCTTTGTCAGGCCTTTTGGTAGTTTGAGGAGCGATGCACTGACACTTAAGAAAAGTTCCTACAATGGAATACTATGCAGCCATCAAAAGAAATGAAATCTTGCCATTTGCGACGACGTGGATGGAACTAGAGGGTATTATGCTTAGCGAAATAAGTCAATTGGAGAAAGACAACTATCATATGATCTCCCTGATATGAGGGAGAGGAGATGCAACATGGGGGGTTAAGGGGGTAGGAGAAGAGTAAATGAAACAAGATGGGATTGGGAGGGAGACAAACGATAAGTGACTCTTAATCTCACAAAACAAACTGAGGGTTGATGGGGGGAGGGGGGTTGGGGGGGTGGGATTATCGACATTGGGGAGGGTATGTGCTATGGTGAGTGCTGTGAAGTGTGTAAACCTGGCGATTCACAGACCTGTACCCCTGGGGATAAAAATATATTATATGTTTATAAAAATAAAATAAAAAAAAAAAGAAAAGTTCCTACCATTTATGTCCTCATTTTCTACTTGCTCACCTCTTCCGGGAAGCCCTCCAGCATGCTGCCACGCTGAACAAACCCTTCTTCCTTTGGGCTCCCCTAAATGTGTATGTTTTAGTTCTTTTACTTCCTCTGACATATAAGTTAGGCCCCTCTTCTCATTTCCGTACAAGAGACTGTGTCTTATTCATTGTGCATTTCCTCAGGCTTTGCTTGAGGTCTAACACCTTCTTTTCCTGAGAATATGTCCTCATCAGTAACCTGGCTTGCCTTTAGGTATTACATAAGCTAATAAGTGGAAAGTGTGCAAAACAGGGCCTGCCACATAGTAAGTGCCCAATAAAGATGAGCTATTATTGTGTAAAATTGAATTTATTTCTAAGCCTAGCTTTTGGTGTTAGGAACCTGGATTATGAATTCAATGCCAGTACGTGGATTGTTAGGATTTGATAGAACTGTAGAGGAAACACCTTGTCAAAGCATTTGATGGGAGCAGCCACAGGTCTCGGTACAGGGGTATTTTGGAGAAACGGTTGGCGGAAGGACAGGCAGGCGTAGCTATCCATCTATTATCTGTCTAGTGGGTCCTGTATGGGGGCTTGTTTTTAATGTGCAGTATGCCAGGTGTGCCTGAACCTCTTCTGTCCACCAGTCATCAGAGATCCAAGAGCCACTGTATCTCATGATGGTGGGTCAGATAATCAAATGTGTTCGGAATCAGACATCTCTGAATGGAAAGGAAACTGTAGTGTCTCCAAATGTTATTTCCCTTCACCCAGAACTGTTCTGTGTGCTGCACAGGACTGTTCCTAGCAGGTGTGTGCGTGCGTGTAAATCTACTTCTTCTACTCAGGAGAGCATAAAGATGGAGATGGAATCCACTGCAGTGTGAAAGCTACTATTTTATGGGATAATTACATGGACACAGTTCTTCCAACATCTTCATTATAGAAACATGGCACTAGGAAGCATTTCACCAGTCTTCTGTTCCCCCTATAGCAAGAATATGAGTTAAATTGTATGACAGGATTGCTCTTACTATGTCTTCATTACTATGTTGTAATCATATTAGATAAACTCATCCTGGGTGTGTGGCAAAGGAAAACGTTACTTTTGTGTCTCCTGCCCCCTGAGCTAGCCACTCCCAGGAACACAGGGCACTTTGGGTACTGTCGGTATGGAAATGTCACGGTCTTCTTGTGGGAGAAAATTCTGCTGTTTCTATTTCATGGCAGCTCCCTGGAAAGATGCACAGACTAAAATAGTCTGTAGCAAATGGTATTATATGAAGCAGGACTGGATCGTGAAGGAACCAAGCTAAATGGATCTACCAGGTTAGACTTGGTTCATTTTATTTTATTTATTTATTTTAAGATTTTATTTATTTATTTGACAGAGAGAGAAAGGGAGAGCATGAGTGGGGGTGGGGGGTATGGGGAGCAGCAGGCAGAGGGAGAGGGAGAAGCAGGCTACCTGCAGAGCAGGGAGCCCAACTCAGGGCTTGATCCCAGGACCCTGGGATCACTAGAATTTGGTTCATTTTAGATGGGGAAAACAGTCTTTTGTCACAAAGTGCCTAAGAAAATTTACAGATACACATATATATTACATAAAATATGTTATTTTGAAAAAAAAAATGCTATTTTGTATATTACATATATAATATAGCATATACTTTATATTTTGTAAATATATATTTACTCGTAGTGAAATGCACAGATCTTTAGTATATAGTTTGATGAGTTTTGACAAATGTATATGTTCATTTTATCTTTACCCAAATCAAGATATAGAACATTTCCATTACTCTAGAAATTTTCCTCCTGTCCCTTTCTGGTCAGTTCCGGACACCTCCTCCAGAGGCAAAGGCTATCTGATTTCCTTTATTATGGATTAATTTTGTCTATTATTGATGATCATATGAATGAAATAATGCCATATGTACTCTTTTGTGTCTGACTTTTTTTTTTTTTAAGATTTTATTTATTTATTTGACAGACAGAGATCACAAGCAGGCAGAGAGGCAGGCAGAGAGAGAGGAGGAAGAAGGCTCCCCATTGAGCAGAGAGCCCAATGCAGGACTTGATCCCAGGACACTGAGATCATGACCTGAGCTGAAGGCAGAGGCTTTAACCCACTGAGCCACCCAGGCACCCTGTGTCTGACTTTTTACACTCAAAATATTTAGTAGATTTCATATTGTGTCATTGTTCTTTTTTTTTTAAAGTTTATATATGTAAAAATTTTTAAGTCATCTCTTTACCCATCATGAGGCTCAAATTTACAACCCCATGATCAAGAGTCATGTGCTCTGCCAACAGAGTCAGCCAGGCACCCTTCATTGTTCTTTATTGTTGAGTACTATTCTGTTGTAGGTATGTGTGTATATACGTGTGTGTATACACACACACACACACACACACCAGTTTTTAAAATATTTTTGCTTGTCATTGGGCTTTGGACTGTTTGCCATTTTTCACTATTGTGAATATAGGTGCCAAAATATTCCAGTTGCTCCGCATTTTTGCCAGTCTTCAATCTCGTCTGTCGTTTGAATTGTAGCCATCCTAGTATATGTGGAAACAGAGAGAAAGGTGATGAAGGAAACTTTGCTGTGGGATATAAGCTAAGCAGTTGTTTTAGAATGTGGAGGCCTGAGGTGAAAGTAGTGCTTTAGGGACATTTTGTTTTTTATTCCTCGCCCCTGGACACAGGTGTCCGGAACTGAGGTCTGCAGAGTTTGGGTAGCCTTTCCAAGAGTCATACAAGTGGCAGAAGTCAAGCTGACAGGCAGCTGTGTTGGATGCCAAAAGCCCCTGCTCCTCATTCCTGGGTCAGCATGTCTCAGAGTAGGGCCCCCAGACCAGTGGCCAGAGCGTCACCTGGGACTGGTCAGACACTGGAATTCCTGGACCCCACCCGGGCCTTGCCGACTCCCAAACTCTGAAACTCCTGGAGGCGGAGCCTCTGGGGCAGTATTAAAAGAGGCCCTGGGGTGATTCCAAGGCGTGCCCAGTTTTGAGAATCACCGCCTGAAGGTACAGACTGACACTTAGAAAAGGACCCTTGACACAGCTGATCTGGGTTTCAGAACAGGCTTTGCCAGCTAGTGCTGTCGTCTCCGGCAAGTCACCCTCTCTGGGCCGACCTTTCTTCATT